GACAACCCAAATGTGATAAAATAGTGTAACTAATACACAAATGTTATGAGTTATTATTATATCAAAAACCAATATATTGGTCATAATTAGTAAAAAGAAACTCATTAGCATAATATGAAGGGTCCCTCCCTCTTTGCTTTTGGTGTCTATATTTAGGGGACAAAGGTTGGGGAGGGTTCAACTTCAACCCAAATCTTCCTTCTTTCCCTCTCTAAAGGAAAAACAAGGGTAACCCACAATTTTTAGGTCACCCCTCCGCCTTTGCCCTAACTTTTCAGCCACCTTTTGTTCATTGTTTTATGCCAATTCAAAGGATTTTATTTGAAAAGTTTGAAGAAAAAGAATAAAGAAAACCCACCATTTCTTTCCCTTTTATTTGATTATGACATCGAACCAAGTTTTTTGGCTTGAGATTTCCCCATAAATACCTCCCTCTCCCTTTCTCTCCTCCATTCACTTATTCACCAACGCAACATCTGTAGCCTTTGGGCAAAAAAGAAGAAGAAGATGGTGATGCTCGGCATCATCATTCCAAGAGCATAATACCATGACATGCAACCATGCATATATGCACACATAGACGTGTTTCTTCATCATCAGCATGGCATCCATGTATGTATGTGCCTGGCTCCCTGTATGCCATTTGCAGAGTTCATTGAACTTCGATAGCCTCTGTGAATGGCGTATGAGGAGCCAAGCATGTACTCCATGTATTTCATATCTCTCTATATATATATCTATCCATGAATATTCTTCTATTGCTTGCTATCCAGGCTCAAGGACATCACATTTTCCAGGTTTTCCCCCCTCATTTCTCTAAAACCCAAAAGGTAATCCTTCCTCTTCTTCTTCTCTGATTATTTAATCAATTTTTATGGGTTTTTCTCACATTTTCACGAATTTTTTGCAGAGAATAAAAATATTACCAAGTTCCCAGGTAATTTTTATGAGCTGTATGGAAATCTGTTGCTTAAAATTACAGTCTCGTTATAAAAAAAAAGAAGAAAATCTTAATTGTTCCCGACAACATGGAAGTTGTATAAAACATTACATAAGTTGTCTTATCATTCTTCTAAATTGTTCTTTAGTACTCTACTCTTGTCCGAAGGATCTGTCATATGACCAATATATATTAGTTAAAAATATTAAACTAAAAAATAGTGCATTTATTATATCCTTAAACAATTTAAGCTTATTTTTTTAGTTTTCGTTATTTACACTAATTGTACTTTTACATGAATTTCTAGCTGGGCTTTTACGATAGCTATTTCTTGTTGGTGTTTATCTACCAGCCTCTTGCCTAGATTACCCATTTGGGTCTTATTAATAAATTTATTTTGACCGAGTAATATTTGACATGAATATTATATATATATATATATATATATATATATATGAATGATAGTAATCATACTTATATCTTTAATTAAAGGTTAAATTCATATTAAACTTTTAATATTAGTTGTTGGTTGGTCTAATAGGTTGAAATATTATACTTTTAAAATAATTTAAATTTAAAATTTTAATATTATGAATAAAATAAAATAAATTAAAAAATCATTTTATAATATTTTTATAATATTCAAAATTAATTAATTTAGTATCTATTATTATAAAAAATAAAACCTTTTCAAAATGTTTATGATTTACTTTTTATAAACTATTCTTTTTCCATTGCCTAAAGTTGGAAAAATCCTAAGAGGGAAACAACCGTTTATTTATTATAATATATATATATATTTATTTATTTATCGACATCGAGTTGGAAACTAAATTGGATTTGAGAGTAAATGTGCTAATATATTATCATCATTATTCCTTTTTTTTTCTGGGTTACTTTTTAAACAAGAAACGTTGAAGACAAAATGATAAACACAGTGTTTAATGTCTGACCAGCCACAAGGAAAAAAGAAACAAAATAATGGACTTTCCTTTTAAAAAAATAATGGGCGTTCTAGGGTTTTGCAAAAGTTAAAGTTTTATAGGAAAAAAAGCAAGTGCATAGCATTATGATTATGATTATTGGAAGTCCCAAAAAGAATTTTAAAAATAATAGAAAAAGACCATAGTATTTGTATTAAAATAATAATTTATACATTTATGCCATATTTTTATATTTCTATAATTACATTTTAATCAGGATAAATTATGAAAATGTTTATTTTAATTATTTTTATATCAATTTTAGAAAATTAATATTTTGAGTATTTATATTATCGATTTATATTATTTTTATCACTTATAATATTGATTTATAGTAACTTGATTATTTTAATGTAAAATATCATTGATTTGATGATGCAATATCTTACTAAAATAGGCTAATTTATAGTTTAAACTCTAAAATTGAGATGATATACTAATTTAACACTTAAATTTTAGATAGAAATAATAGAATACAAATTTGACTCTTAAAATTTATATAAAATATTAATATAACACCAAAATTTAATCAAAGTCTAATGTCACTAGTTATCACTCACCACCATCGTTAGTCATTGTCAACCATTATTGGCTATCATCGTCGATGACTATTAGACCCTCAAATTTTCAATTCATTTTTTTACCTCCTAAATGTTAATATAATATTTGTTTCATAAAAAAAATCGAACTCTACAAATCTAATCTAAAATTTGTCATTTCCTTTAAAATAAAATTACTGTAATAAATTTATTATTAATGTTGTTTTAAAAATAAAGATTGGCTTAAGTTCTCATGAACATAAGTTAAGCACAAGCATAGAGAATGTATTTATCTAAAATTTAAAATCCAAATTAATATTTTATATAAATTTTTAAATCTCAATTAAAAATTAACCTATTTTATTAACATATTTCATCTTTTAACCGATGATATTTAATTTCTAATAACCCAATCATAATAAATAAATAATAGTATAAGTACTATTTTTCCTCTAAATTAGTGATCAAAAGTGAACAGAAATAAAATAAGTGACCGTTTTAACAGTTTACACTTTTAATTATTATACGTAACATGTTAATATGTTGTAAGCCTATTCCAAAGCGTTTGGTTTTCTTTCTGATTAGCTTGAGATGAATACCGAATACAATATAGCATTTGTTGTTTTTAAAAATTAATTATTTAATATTAAACATTTAAACATCTCAATATTTGAATTTCCGAAATTTTAAAAAATAATAACAGTTTTTACCCACTCAGCTTGATTCGTGCTCAAAGTGTTTGATTTGTGATTGGTGGATAGGGAATAAAGCTACGCTGTCACAGTGAGTCAAAAAGGTATTTTGGGTCAGACATGATCTAAGGGGAACCATGTTAAAGTTAAACATATCATGATTGACTACATATTTTATTCTTCCATAACAATGTTTTTTTCAAAAATAATTAAGTAAAAGTAGAATTAGATCCATTTTCGTATGAATTAACCAGTGATTAAAGGAATATTAATTTTTTATAGAGGTCACGAATTCGAATATCAATAACTGTTATAAGTTGATTGATAAAGTGATTAAATGTTAATTATTAAATAATTAAAAATATCTAAAACATATTTTACTTTATAATCTTTAATAAAAAAAATTAGAACCATTTTATAAGCACTTACTTTTTGAAGAATGGAAGGCAACCCTGTATAATTGCCTGTCATTTCAATAATTGGGTAACTCAGCATGAGTAGGTCAAAAAGCTTCTTTTAATTTTCTTTTTTGAGCACTTCGTCAGTTTAATATACGTCAAGGAAAATTGCTATTGGAAATTTTATTATTTTTTAAATATTTTTAATAAAAAAATTATTTAAAAAATTATTATTTTTATCAGAAATATTATTATTGAGCGAATTACCAGATTTGTTAATAAATACAATAAAACACTATTTAAAATATTATTTTTTTATCGAAAATGTTAATATTGGACACTTTACTGAAAATATTAAAAAACATTAATGTTTTAGGTAAAAAATATTTTAAGTAATTTTTTACCATAAATATTAAAAAATATATATTTTGATAATATATTTCCTTAACATTATATTAAGACTGTCTAATGATATTATTTTCTCTTCCTGTTCCTTATTATTGTTATTACTATCTTTATTTGTTCACATTCTGGTAATGTTCATCTTATCTTAAACAGAAAAAGGCATGGAATATTGGGATGCACGTTGTTTTACTTTTAATTTTTTTTCTTAAGGAAAAACTGTAGCTTTTATATTTTATTACATTTAATTGAAAATTTTACGGTCTTAGACTCTTAGTATATAGATTTATTTAGATGTGACAATTTTTCATATCATATATTGAGTACATGTTTATATCCAACGTTAGTAAGATATGTAAACAACATATATCAAATCTATCTTCATTGTAATGAAGTGTTTTTCGATTAAAATTAACAATTATGTAATGAATGTAAGTAATATTTGTTTTAAATACATACAAAATGATCATCCAACTATTCATTATATTCTAAACTCGTCATTTTCTGTTAAAAATTAATTGTCGTCCGAACTAGACGTTAATATGATAACCAAGATATGATAATCAAATAAGATTCTAAGATTAGATTTTGTTATATCACAATCAACAGATTAACTTTTCTATGATTTCATGTGAAACCATAAATAAATACATGGTACATCGACCGTCTATATTCTAAGTTCTACTAGTAAATTTATCAACAAACCTAATAATAATCCTTTAAACCTTTTATATAAATATATATATCCTATTTGAATCTTTGTCTGGTATATTATTTTATAGTGACCACACTCGCTATCCAATAGTCAAAGAAAACAAATTAAGTAAATCAACATCTTCTAAACTAAACAAGCACGTACATTTAAACTAGTTCCAACGTATTGTGTCCCAATATCTTTGGCTGTCGAATTCTGAAGATCCATCAGAGTTCCCTAGGAACCACATATTTATAAGACACCTAAACATAGATTCAATGCTATGATGATTTTATATATTCTTTTTACATCATTTAGCTATCATATTCCCCTTGCGCAAACTTGTTTTCCGGATAGTAGACGGCAATTACTTGATTTCCACCGAATTTCCGACTATTCATTACCGCTTGAGCTTTTTTGGAACCTTCAACATCTGAGTACTCCAGAAATACCTAATCACACCAGAGAATTACAGTCGGTAGCATCAGCGGGGTAGTATATGGAGCCACTTGGGAACAACTTGGTAGAAAAAACTATGATACTTGGGTGTGGATATTCAATACGATTACGAGTCAACACAGATATGTACAGATTTTTTAAAGCTTGTTCATGTATTAGGAGAGTCATATCCCATTTGTCAAGATTCATAAGCTCAACTCAATGAGTAGAAAACAAAGAGAAAAGAGAGGATAGGCTCTCTAAACCTTGTTAATGAAAAAGATATCTTTGCAGTCTTACAACAAGCTTACTTATAGCTCTATGAACGTACACAACTGACTATAACAGAAGCATAATAGCTCTATAACAGAAAGCTCAACAAACTACTCCTAACTCATAACCAAATGGAAACATATTACATTCACCCATCTTCTGTATCTTCATAAGATCTCAACATTCCCCATGCTTTCAAAACTTCTAAGCAACTGAGTGACTAAGAGTTTTTGACGATGTTTTACTAACATAGGTGCTGAGAGTGGCTGTCAACACATCAACAACTTGTTCATAAGTTGGAACTTCATGCACCTGCAGCTTTCCAACAACCACCTTTTCACGAACAAAAAACAAATCGAGCTCAACATGCTTGAATTTTGAGTGAAGTACAGGATTAGCACAAACATCTACAACACTCCTATTATCACACCACAAGGTTGCTCGACCATGAACAACAACATACATCTCCTTAAGAAATGCCATAATCCACACCAGATCAGCAACAGCAGAGGCAACGCTCCTATACTCAGCCTCAGCCGTAGAACTTGCAACAACTTGCTGCTTATGAGAACTCCATGCAATGAGATTCCCTCCAAAATAAATACAAAACCCCGAGGTGGATCATCTATCATCGACATCAGAGGCCCATGTGACATCAACAAAACCAGTTAACGATAATCTTGAGGATGAAGTAAAACTTAGCCCATAGTTAGTTGTACCTCAGAGATAACGCAAGATCCTCTTGACTGCCTGAAAATGTATATCACATGGTGCCTGCATAAATTGACAAACCTTATTTACTGAGTAAGCAATATGAGGACGAGTTACTACCACATATTGGAGAGCACCCACTATACTACGATATTCAACACCGTTTTTAATGAATTCACCACCATTTTGTTGAAAGCTTGCTTGTAAAAACCATAGGAGTAGGGAGCTCATATCTCTCCAACAATTCACCAAAGCCATATCTCCAACAGTTCACGAATGTATTTATTTTGACTCGAAACTAATCCATCAGCATCATAACATACTTCAATACCAATAAAAAAAAACTAAGAGAACCAAGATCTTTCAAGGAGAATTGTTTGTTCAATTCATTGATCACCCTTTGAACTTCATCTGCATTACTCCCTATTAGGATTATGTCATCAACATAAACTAACATATACACTATGCTAACAGAAGTCTTTCGAACAAATAATGATGAATCTGATTGCGCCAAAACAAAACCTACCAAAATCAAATACATTCGAAGACTATCAAACCAGGCTCGAGGAGCTTGTTCAGGCCATAGATGGCTTTATTAAGCTTGCACACCAACCCTTCATTTCCTTGTTCATATCCAGCGGCTACATCATATAAACTTTTTCAGTCAGCACTCCATTCAAAAACGCATTATTGATGTCAACTTGGCGAAGCTGTCATTCCTTGGACAAGGTAAGTGAGATAATTATTCGAACAGTTGTTGGCTTAACCACTGGACTAAACACTTTATGAAAATCAACTCCAGCTTGCTGAAGGAACCCTTTGGCTTCAAGACGAGCCTTGTAATGAACACAGTTCCATCTGGATTTCTTTTCACCTTAAAAATCCACTTGCAGTGAACAGCTTGTCGTCCCTTGGGAAGAGGAACTAATGACCAAGTTCCATTCTTTATCAAGGCTTCATATTCTTCATGCACTGCTTTAGCCCAGTGAGGACTGCGCATGGTTTCCTTAATGGAATAGGGCTCCTTTTCTAGACAGGCTACATGAAGTGCCTTCGGTTTTCGAATCCCATTTTCCCCCTCGTAACCATGGGATGAAAATTTTGAGAAGTAGGATGAAGATCACCTAAGGTAGGTACATTATCCTCTGAAGTAGGTACTGGCCTTGAAACAGTTCAACAACTGAAAGAACAAACTCATGCACATCAGATGAATATTCCACACGTTCTGAAATCATAGAAGCTGCAGGAAGAATTGTACTAGGAGGTTCTACATATTCTGGAATCACAGAAACTGCATGAGACCTGGTAGTAGATGGACTAACACCATTACAGGGAAGGACTTATTCATTATTCGATGTAACAACTACTTCCTCACTATGACTAACATCACGAGTAAAACCATTAGTTACACCAGGAACAACAACAGGCAACACACCAGTGGTTACATCAGACTTACCTCGAGTACACGAGAAACCAACACAACTTACTGTCTTATAAGAAAACTCATCCTCGTCAAAGACTACATACCGAGAGAGAATGATCTTGCCTGAATCATCCAAGCACATGTAACCTTTATGAGAAGAACTGTAACCAAGAAACACATTTTTGAGAACGAAATTGCAGTTTATGCTGATTAAAAACGCGTAAACAAGCAAAACAAGCATTGCCAAATACACTAATAAGAGAGTAGCCTAGAGATTGTCTATAAAGGACTTCAAACAGGGATCGTCCACTGAGAACACTCGTAGAAAATCTGTTTATCAGATATACTACTGACATGCATAGCTCCAGAATTTAAATGGCAACGAGGCTTGAGACAACATAAAAAAACCCATTTTGTAACATCCCAAACTATGTGTTAGTGACTAAATGGTAAAGTTTCATAAATTTGGTGATTAAAGTAGAAGAATTGATTAGTTCAATGATTTATCTGGAAATAAATCCTAAAAGTTGTTAGTAATTATCAAATGAAGTAAGGGCAAAATGGTCATTTGACTAATAAAGGAATTAAAAATAGATATGATAAGGATATATATGTTAGAGGGGATAAGGATGAAGAGATATCTCTTCATCTTCTTCTTCTTCTTCATGTACGAGAGAAATAAAGAGCCAAGTTGCAAAGATATAGAACGTGATCCTGTTCTGAATCAATTGAAGGATTAGAATCGAATCAAAGCAAAGCTAAGGTGAGTGCACATTATTTAGTATATGATGTTAAATGGAAAATAAGACTTATGATAAGTCTATTTCCAATAGTAAAATGCATGAATTCATAGAGGTATGTGTTTATTATGAGTATATGTGTTATTGATATGATTCTATGATCATAGGATGTAAACTATGTGATAAGTGATAAGTGACTATATAAAATTATATGAGAACAAGAGATGACAATGATTTACATGTCATATGAAAACCAGAGAAGTGTTATAAGCAAAGTGACATATATGTGATAAATGAATGATATGAAAAGTGAGATAAACAAAGTATGGTTGATATAGGGTAATATAAGAATAGCTCATATGTTATATGATAAAGATGGAACCATATAGGAACATTAATTGAGTACTTGATAATAAGTCATAAGGTTATATGCATAGGTAATATAAGTTATAAGATGAGAATATATATGAATATCAAATAAGTTATGAGATAAGTTATATGACATTGATATATAGGCTAAATGAAAGTATACACATGAATACATATATAAGTTTATATGTTATTTTATATGCTATGGGATATACCCATGAACATATGTGATGTGATATATGTTAGGAGAAATGACCATGTGACTAAGTGTGAATTGATATAAGTATGTGATATGAAGTTATGGGTATATGCGTCATATGTTATTATAGGTGATATGATATATATGAGGTTATGCGATATAAAAGTGTATATGTGAAATAACATGATAGGTGATAAAACCGTGAGCCTATATGATTATGTGTTATATGTTACATGATATGACATGCGAGTTACATGAACAAATGAGAAATGATATAAGTCATATGAAACGATCTACGTGAATACATGCACTTGTGATACATGTGATATGATATAAGATATATGGTTACACATACATGTGGTATGTGACAGAAGAGAAATAATAAGTGATATGAAATGTTATAAATGATAATACCCATGTTATGTGATATGAGAGCTAGGGGTATAGTTGGCATGCCAAGAGTCGAGGGTATACCTATGTTCTACGGAACATATGGAAAGAATTACCTATGTCTTTCGAGACATATGGACAGTATACCTATGTTCTAAGGAACATATGGACAGTTTACCTAAGTTCTTCGGAACCTATAGACAGTTGTCGAGGATCTTTATGACCTCTGGATAGTTACCGAGGATCTTTGTGACCTCTGGATAGGTCCTTCAGGACATTTATATGAGCTGTGGTGACAGCATATGTGTGCACAACCTCAATGTACTCACATACCTTAAGTTCTCACTAGTGTACATGGGCTAATAAAGAGATTAAACAAACATATACTGAATGTGATATGTATACGATGGTTTTATAAATGGTTATCAAAAGTAAGTGGTTTGAAATGTGTTACATGAACCATATGATGTTATATGTGTTTCTTAATGATAATGATAGAGATTATGATAATGATGTTATATGTTTATGTATGCTTTATGTTATATGAAATATTATATGTTTTATATGCCTCACTAAGTCATCGACTTAGCGTGTGATTGTTTCACACATAGGTTTGGAAAGCGAAAAGAGAAGTAAAGAGGAACAAGACAGGTCAGTTCTCCTTACCGAATGTCAGATCAGAAGAGAGGTGAATAATATGTATTTTTGTATATAAAGTTCTAGTTGGCATGTAATCAAAAGAATATATTGTATAAGCTCTGGATAGTTTTGTAAATGTTTTGAATAAGTTAAATGTTATAAAAGTTTTTAAAATTACTCACTATTTTATACGAATAAATGTTTGAAAAGTCAATGTGACGCTTCGGACTCGTATCCGAGTTGGATACGGGTTGGGGGTGTTACACATTTCAACAACATGTCTATGCTGCTTTCTCTCAGCTTTACCATTCTGTTCAGAAGTCCTAGGACAAGATATACGATGCAAGACCCCATTCGATCTGAACTAAGACCTCAGAGGCTGATATTCTCCACCTCCATCATAGTGCAACATCTTGACTTTATACCCAAATTGGTCTTCAACCATCTTAACAAAGTCAAGGAAACATTGCATGACTTCAGATTTACGTTTGAGTAAATAAACCCACGTGTATCGACTAAACACATCAATGAACGAAACATAGTAAGCAAACCCATCTGAAGAAACAACCAATGCAGGTCCCCAAACATCAGACACAATCAATTGAAAAGGCTCATTGTATTCAGTCAGAGACTTACAAAAGGGCAATTTGTGTGCTTTGCCTTGCATGCATACAGTACAAACATGAGTGAATTTAGTTTTATTTAAAGAGATATTACAAGACTTCATAACCAAAAGAACATCCAAAGAAGGATGACCTAGCCTCCTATTCCACATCTCCAAAGCATCCTGTGAACCAAATCATTGTGGACTTGAAATCCTGCCTCTTGCTTGTCACATGACTACTGACCATTATACGACAGCATTGATATAGCCCCTCATCCATGAGCTTCCCTCGAAGAAGAAGCGTTATGGTCTGAGCATCCTTCACAAAGCACTCAAAGGCATGAAACTCAAGAAATACATTATTATCACACGTGAACTGTAAAACAATAGTAGTTTTTTTTTCTTCTTAATATTAGGAACGTGCAACATGTTTTGTAAAATTAAAGATTTCTGTCTCGTAGGTAAGAAACCTCGACCAGCATGATTAATTTTGACCCCCTCACCGTTACCCATGAATAAGGTATTAGCACCAGTGTAAACAATACTGAGTCAAAGACAGATAGATCATTTGAGCCATGATGTGTAGCACCCGTATCAGGATACCAAGCAGTTTCTGGAGGCACTGATGAGCGAGTTGAACTAGGAGAGACAACTGAGTTGAACAAAGAGAGACAACTGAGATGAACACTGTAGGAGCCGTGGAAGCAAAAGGTGGTTGCACAGAGGATACAGGAAACTGATAGTATCCTGAAACATGAGGCACACCAGTCATTCCTGGTAAACCAAACTTGCTGAGTAAAACACCAGTGGATGTGAATAAGAAACAAATGGGTGAGGGATAGGCGAGAAAGACTGAATTGTATGAGAGAACACTTGCCCTCCAAATTGTTGTTTGACTATATTTATTCGAGCAAACTGTTTTTGTAATCACCAGTTTGATCCTCACCTTTGGTTACACCAATAAAGTCACGATCAAATCGGTGATAACACTTTTACACCACATGGCCAAACTTACAACACAACTGGCATTGAGGTCTGTTTGAACTTTGTCCTCGGCCTCGACCACGATAACCGCCACCTTGCTGGTCTCGATTTTGACCTAAACGCAGTTGTGATGCATTATTCTCTTTAGCATCCACCTCAATGTTATTTACCTCCTTAGGTAAACATGTCAAGTTAGCTGCAACACCTTCATTCAAGAACACTTTTTGTCGAGCCTCACAATCCATCAACATATCAGTCAGGATTTCTAAAGACAGACTCTCACGAGACGCAATAGTGATGATTGACTCAAACTCCATCGAGAGACCAGCAAGAACAACACTCACATGTTCCTGCTCAGTAACAACACTACCAGATATATTAAGTAAATCATAGATAGACTTAAATTTGCAAGATACTCACTAATCGTCAACCCATACTTTCTTTGAGTATGCAAACTATGCCTAAGGGCTGAGATCTTGGTAGCAGATCGAGCACCAAACAACCGAGAAACAACAGACTATATAGAGGAGGTTGTTGCAAGACCAGTAAGGTGAGGAAGAACCTCAGTCCCAATCGTGGTGAGCAACCAAGAGACTAGCAATTTATCTTGCCGCCTATGAACCAAGAAAGCCGGATTAACCTCAGCATGACCAGACACACTTGCAACATACTCATATGGTAGAACTGCATCAATGGAAAGAAAACTTGTCAATCCATAACCATCGACTATCAATGCAACTTGATGCTTCCAAAGAAGATAGGTGCTCTCGGTAAGCTTGACAGTATCATGCTTAGGAATACGTTGAATCCAATTAATCCCTAACGGGGCTGTCATCGAGCTCACGTGAGAGGTATTTGGAGACATGATTTTAGAACCTCGAATTAGATCTGCAGTTAGATCAACCATAATGAACAAGATGAAGCAAAAAACGATTTAACAGCAGAAGAAACAACCACCAAGATTGGCGAATGATACCATGTCAAGATTCATAAGCTCAACTTAATGAGTAGAAAACAAAGAGAAGATAGATTAGGCTCTCTAAACCTTATTAATGAAAAAGATATCTTTGCAGTCTTACAACAAACTTACTTATAACTCTATGAACATACACAACCAACTATAACATAAGCATATCAACTATATAACAGAAAGCTCAACAAATTACTCCTAACTAACTCATAACCAAATGGAAACCTATTACACCATTAACTGTGATGGGGAAAAAAGAATAGGAAAAACAACATTAAAGAAAATGTAGAAAGCATCAAAACTGACCTTCCCGACACCTGGGGAGGGTTCTCCATGTGGATTTGGGCGTGGAATGACATCATTCACCAATTCACCTACAAATTTCATGTAAGCAGTTCAATTCCACAAAGAAGGAAAAAAGACAAGTTTTTTAATAAGAATTGAAGGCCTCGTTAAAAACCCCTTCTTGATTAAAGGAACTCGTAAAGAAGCTCCTTAATCAACGGAAGGAGGAAAAGAGTGCCTTGAGATTTCATTAAACATAAAGAAAGTTACAGAAATACAACACATAAAAAATCCTTTACAAGGACTAAAAACCATAAGACAACCATAAATAACAATACAAAATCAGCCTATTCCAGCCTTAACTAGGGCATCAGCCTCTAAATTAGCTGTCCTAGCAACCCATCTAACAACACCCTCAAGAGCTCTAAGCCTATCAATAATGTCCTTAACAATACAAACATACACATCTGACATAAATCTACATTCTTAATCCACTCCACTGCCACCCTGCTATCACTCTCGATAATCAATCGATCCTTAACAATCTCTTGAAAATAGACAAAGAAGGATAAACCCCTTTGAATAGCTTTAAGCTCCATCAGTGTAGGAGGTCCCGAACCAGAAGACTCCTTAAAAGTGCCTATAATCAAACTAGAATGATCTCTTAAAACGCCACTAAGACCACTCTTCTTCCAGTCGCTACTAATTGCAACATCAACATTCAATTTGATGAAGCCCTTAGGGGGAGGGAACAAAGGGATCTTAGATAAAATCACTTTATTATAGATGAACAAGAAACCCCTAGGGAAGGATCAGAAATGAGAGAATCCTTAGGAATAGAAATCTCCTTAAACTTAGCTAAAAATCAAGAAGCAAGTCCAAATCTTGCTAAGAAAAATAATTTTGTCTAATCTAACTTCCCCCATTCGAGCACTATATCATTCTTGACTTTCCAAATGGTCCATAGAACAACCCCTGGGATAAATGACAAGTTTGTTCCAAATAATATTTAGAGAAAGCATTGTCAAATATATATATAGGTTGAGGATTAACAAGTCTTCTGTCTGAGTATGTTAGGCTTGATTCTTTATAGCAGAATGTAGAACAAGAATGT